GGGGGGGGCTGCAGGGAAGAGACCCGGCAGGGAAGAGGCCCTTGCAGGTTTCCCCAGCCCCGTGACCCGCTCGCTGTGGGTAGAGGTGGCTTGTGGCCTTGGGCATGAGAGAGGGTGCGTGCGTCTGGCTGGAGGCGGCCGTTCAGATGCCTGGATGGGTGTCTTCGGCAGGGCCCCCGTGATTTCCCCTCGGAAGCGGAAGTACGAGGATGACGAAAGGCAGACCATCCCCAATGTCTTGCAAGGGGAGGTTGCAAGATTAAACCCCAAGTTCTTGGTGAACCTGGATCCCTCTCACTGCAGCAACAACGGCACGGTCCACCTCATATGCAAGCTAGGTAAGCGGCCCAGCAAGGCTGTGCTGGGTTCAAGGAGGCAGGAGGCCTCTGGAGCCCTTCTGACAGTGGGCGGGGGGGGAGGCAGCGGCGGCAGCAGCAGGGGCCGGCTAGGGACAGGCTGGGGGCTAGAAATCGGGACAGAGCAGGAGAAAGTGACAGCTCGCAGCTCAGCCTGGTGGCTTAGGCACTTTCTGTGCTGTGAGAGAGAAACAGACGGTGGTGCCCCTGAGGTCTGTCAGCCAGATGGGGAGGCAGCCCTGGCATGGGCGCATCCCCCACCCACCCAGAGGGTGCCCCCAAGGCAAACCAGATGTGCCTCTGCTTCCAGATGACAAGAACCTTCCCAACGTCCCGCCGCTGCAGCTCAGCGTTCCAGCCGACTATCCCGACCAGAGCCCCCTCTGGATCGACAACCCTCAGCAATACGGTACGAAGGGAGTCAGCAGAGCGGGGGGGGGCATTCCTGCTGCCCTGCAGGTTAAAGGGGTGACCGGGCCCAGCAGAGGGAGGAGCAGCTGACCCCAGGAAGAGCCGCCTTCAGAGGCACCGGGGAGCAAAAGTTCAATGGGGGCTTGGCCGCTGGGCCTTCTCCTCAGGGGGCTGCCACTCATAGGCCTAGAAACTTTTGGAGTTCTTACACCCATTTGTAGACCCAGAGGCCGATACGAATGAAGCCCAGCTACACACCCACCAAGTCCATGGCACTGACCCAGTTAGTGGGGAAGCGTGCTTGTAGAATTACAAAACAGCACCAAAGATGAAACAAAAGCAAAAGTAACTTAAGCACCTTTTAAAACTAAAAAAAAGGTCACCAAAATAAACTGAAATTCACAAATGGCCACCAGAGAGAGAGAGAAGTAATTTAGGTTTTGTCACACGTCTGTGTGTGTGTGTGTGTGTTTTAAAGAGAACACAGGGGTGTCCTGCCACCTCCCGGGTAACTGCCTTGGTAACAGCCCCCCCCTTAGGATGCCCCGGTCACCACACCCTTGGACGAAACTCAGCCGAAGAGCCTGGGCGACTCTTGTCTCTCTCCTTCCAGAGGCCAACCCGTTCCTGCAGTCGGTGTATCGCTACATGATGTCGAAACTGCTGCAGCTTCCGGACAAGCACTCGGTCACGGCGCTCCTCAACACCTGGGCCCAGAGCATCCGGCAGGCCTGCCTCTCGGCCGCTTAGCCGGGCCTCGGCCGCGCCGGTGGGCCGGGCGAGGAGAGCAGAGACGCCTTAATGTTTTGTTGACTAGAAATTGGGTTTTGTGGAAGAGCCCGGTGTTAGGTGTAGCCTCTTGTGCTTCTTCTGCCTCTTGTGGGGACTTGCCAGGTGGCGCTGGAGTTTCACAGTCCTCAAGGCAAAGATGTGTTAGCAACCTTATTATTATTATTTTTAAAAATGCCTTCTTAGAGAAGAGTGTGTGCAGACTTCCGTCAGGGAGTCTCTCTAGTAAAGGCGAAGGGAGGGCGCCCTTCCGGCCTGGCCCCGTCTCGGTGTGCATGTGCTGCGTAAGGTTGGGTGGATGCCGTCCTGGGAAGAGGCGGCTGCAGCCAGCAGAACCCAAGCTGGCCCACGTTAGCTCCGCTCAGAGGCAGGGCTGAGCCGGGGGCAGCTTGTGCGGTTCAAGACGCAAGGCCGCCAAACCCGGCTCTTGGTCTGCTCACCTGCTGGTGTCCCACAGGCGGCTCTGCCCCCTTTGTGGGCCTTTTCCTGGGCTTCTGTCTCGGAAACGTCACTGTCCCTCCTCGTGCAGGGTCTCCAAGGCAGCCTCCTGATGCTGGAGCCACCATCGCTGTGGGGTGGCCATGTACATTTCAGGACCTTTTTTTAAAAATGGACTTTGTAAGTGCTAATTAACTGCAATACGAGAGTATCGATATTTCATATGTGAACTAAGGCATTTGTTTTATTGTAATAATAAATGTATTGTTCCAGTGTTTAGCACTCTCTCCCTCGCTCTGTTTTTTCTGGGCCATCTCTGCCGCTTCCACCGCAGCCTGCCGACCAGAGGGTCACAGAATGACACTGGCCTTTAACAGATTTATTTTGCTGACCCCCCAGCCTGGTGGGGGCAGAGGGGCCTTTCTTACACACAGACCACCAACTGCTTTACTTAAAGAGCCATCCGATTCCATTACTGAGGAGGGGTCACTGCAAGGGGACAAGAAGTGATACTGAGGGTCCGGTTAGGTGGGAAGGGATGCCCGAGCCAGTCTCCTCTGGGGCCTGAAGGAAGGTCCCTTCCGGGCAAAGGGGTTCGGCTCAAGGCAGCCCCAGTTGCTAAAGCACCGTCCGGTGCAGCCTTTTTCTCTGGACGGCCTGCGTTCTCTTCTGCCGCTCGGCGAAAGCGTTGCCTAACGTTTGCTTCAGGGCTGGCAGCACAGCGCGTTCCGCAGCCGGCAGTGGGGTGAGGATCCTGCTGAAGGACAAAGAGATGAGGTCAACAACTCTGGTTTTTCAAGAAGCTTGGACTGCATTCCCCAGTGCCTTGGCAACAAGCATCCATGCTCCCAGCCGAGACCTGCTTCCTTATCGTTTGGAGTTAGGGTGGAAGCAGGTATTAGGGCTGCCCAGCTGCAGGCAGTGTTGGAGAGACATGGTGGAGGCAGCCTTGGAGACCAGCTGTGACCCTTTGGCCACCCTGTAAGGTGAGAGGAGCTCCTTCTGGGGGGCACCCGCACGGGATCGGACCTGTCACACCCTCCTCTATTGGGAAAGCCCCCCTCCTCTGGGAACAGAGGGCCGCCTGCCCCAGCCAACTCTCCAACTGGAGCCCCTTCCCAAGAGGATCGGGCCCTTCTTCAGCCCAGAAAGAGCCAGCATTTAGTGCATGCGTTGGGAGAAGGGGGAGGCGAGGCCTTGAGCGTCTGGGCTTCTTGCATCCCTCCTGCTTGCCACTTGTCTAACATCCCATGCTGTGGGGCTGGTGAGGGCAGCAGCTGATCTCAGCCCACGTGACCCCCTAGGGCTGGGGAAAGTTTGGGGTCCGCTGGCTCCCCATTCTTGCTGCAGGAGGCCCTCCATAAGACCCTTGTCGGGAGGGGTGGCAGAAGGGTGGAGCTGCCACCGCTGGGAAGGTGTGGGTGGCAGCCTCTGCCAAGCTGAGAAACCCATTTACCAGGTCTTGGGAGCGTTCTTCATCCTGGGCAACCGTCCGCTCTCCCGGCTCCTAAAGGCAAAGACATCCAGCACAGCTCAGGGGACTAGGTGGTTCCTGCTCGCGAACCGGGCCCCCTCCGAGGTCTGCGCAGGACGGGCAGCAGGGCAGCCAGGGGGCGTTCGGACAGGGTTCCTGCTCTTGGCCTGTGGCTTGCCAATAAGCTCCCATGATGAACAGACGGAGGAGGGGGGGGGACCCCTCATAGGAAGTGTATGAATTCTTATCTCACTTTGCCCCCCCTTGCCATAAGCCCCAGCTTCTACCAAAAATAAGCAGAAGGGGTAAAAGGTGGCGTGGGGTGGCAGCGGCTGAAGCATCCACCGTCTTGTGAACCCCAGGTGGGTGACAGGCAGCCTTCCAGAGGTTTCAGGTGCCGCCTTTGCCCACTGTGAAGGCTCAGGGTAGGAGAAAATGGGAGCGGCCATCTTGACAACCTTACGGGGGAGCACAAATGCCACCCAACCTGCAGGCCAGGGTGGTTCAGAGTCCAGAGAGGAAGGGCGGGTTGGTGTGGCGTTCTGGCGCTGAGCGCCACAGCTCGGTGCTCTTCCACAGGAACCTCCCCAGGCTCCCCACTGGCGAGGGGTGGGGTGGAGTGGGTGGGGACAGAAGCTCTTCTCCCACGGAATGAAGGAGGGGCCATCCCCAAAGGGGTTGGGGTGGGCTAACGCCATTCGCTGCCCTGAGATGAAGCGAGGGAGCAGGGAAGTGCCGCAGGCTGGGAATCTCGAGACAGTCCAAAAGCAGGGGCTTCCAGCTGTTTCACCTCGCTCACGTAACAAGCGTCGCCCCAGAGGAGACGCTGGCCAATCCAAGATCATCACTCAGAGCTTAGAGCATTCTGCCTGAAGCAGCCACTGAACGGCGAGTCACCCAACCCAGCCACTGGGCCTTTCCCAGAACATCATCTGATCTTGTGTCTGAAGAAAGGAAGGGGCTCCTTGGATAGGCACCTGCTCCACCCCTTCCCAGCCCCCCCCCACTACCACTTCCCCCAGCTTGCAAGCAAGGTTCACACAGCAGAGGCGCCTCCTGCCCTCCTCTCTCACTGTGAACTGCCTTACCCAAGGTGGCCAGCGAGCATGTACTCTTCAGGGATCCTCCTGGTCTTGTGGATGTCCTCCAGGCACGATCTCAAATACATCAGCTGGAGGACAGAGGAGACCCAGTGACCCTCCTGCTCCTTCCCGACTGCGCCGGGAGCAGGACGTGGAGGGGAGGGGAGGCGGCCTCACCTCCTGCATCTGCATGTGGTTGATGTTCCACAGCTGGCGGATGACCACCTCGCACTCCTCCAGCGTCGGCGGCTTCCGCACGTGGGAAGGGAGCACGTTCACCAGGAAGGGGTTGGAAGAAGCCGCCGGAATCCTCATCTCCCCGCTCCTGTCCTGACTCTCCGAGGGGAAGCGGACCGGGGACGTCGCTCGGTCACAGACAGCCGTGACTCTGAAACGCCGATAGGGACTCCCCGTGGGACGCCCACGGCTGGAAAGCTTGGCAGGAGGCTCCACGTCTCTAAGAAAACAAGGAGAAACCGGCATGGGAGGCGGAGGGAGGGACGTGTCCTGGCCTCTGAGAACTTTCGTCCCGACGCCAAAGAAGGGAGATGGGCATCACAGTCCGGTTGCAGAACACAACACTGGCCTGTCTCATTTCTGTTTTGGTTTCGTTTTTTAATCGAAGGAAAGTGTGCAAATGGCTTCTGCACAGTCAAAGGGAGCCAATTCTCCCTCACGGCTCTGGCGAAGGCCAAGCCCCTCCAAGGCAGCGGGAGCCTCACAGGCTTAGAGAAACATCTCCTTCCCTGGGGGAGCTGCTGCCTGTAACTCAAACGGGAAGGCCCGCCAGGGTAACACGACAGCAGAAAGAGGAGCCAGGCTGGCAGCCCAGTGAAGACCAGCGTTCTCTATCTGGCAGAAAGGTGCCTTCCTGGGCATCAGCCACTGCCCCAGGGGCCTGTTGAAGAAGTGGCCAGGCGCCCACAAGGACGTGCACCAACCGGCACAAGCATGTCCACCTGGACGACGCCGTGGGACTCCATGGCTAATCCAAGCCGGGAGGGGAGGGGTGGGGTGGGGGGCTCTGTGGCAGCAGGGGGAGCGCCCCCCGCATCCTTGCCCACTGCTGTTGGCAGCCTCTGCCACGGCCCCTGGAGTCAACCTAGGTTCTCCATTCCTAAAAAGATGGGTGCTCTCCTATTCTTTTATCTTTCATCACAGCTGGTCGGTGTCAAACTGTTACCAGCTCTTCAATGCAAACCGTTGGCCCGCCCCACTCGAGGCTTCTGCGACCCCAGGAGAGGTTGCCAAACCTGCCAGGAGCCCCCACTGGTGGCCCTTCCGTGGGCTCTGGGCTGGGGGCCTCTGCTTCCTCCTGTGCGGTGGCCCTGTCCTCCTCTTGCCGCCCTTCCGCGCTCGCCTCTGCCACCCGCTCCTCTCCCTTGGGAGGAGGCCCAGCGCTCTCGGTGGGCTTCTCCTCCAGCTGCTCTGAATCTATACAACATATAAAAGAAGAGTGGGGGGAAATAACAGGGACATGGAGTTGTGGCTATTATTGATTTAGCAAGCATGCAGCCTGCCCTTCAACCATCAACAACACCCAAGCCCACTGATACGAACAAGACAGTGATAAAATACAGAGCACGTATGGTTAAGAGCCTGTTTGTCCACTCCAGAAGGTGTCCCAAATGGTTAAACGATTTGTTCATTTATTTATCTATTTGATTTACACCCCACCCACCCCCAGACAGCATCTGCTGGGGTTGGATGGACCCCGTCCACATCCTGGCCCAGAACGTCCACTGGGGTGACCAAAGCAGCCTCCGGCGCCCAACCGCAATGGATCTGAAGAGCCACCTCGCCCAGAAACACTCCCCCCCCCCGCAATGCTCCAGGACCTTGCCCACACAGGGGATCTAGGGGAACAAAAGAGTTCTTTTGTCTGACACAAAAGGCCTTCCCCTTAGACCTTGGGGGCACAATGGGGCTGGGCTGGGCTGGGCTGGAGGGGGGCTTTTGGCAGGAGGACCCCCGCCCACACCCATGTACCTTCTTTGCTCAGCTCCTCTGCCGTCCAGGAGCTGCTGCTGTCTGCCTTGCCCACCACGCTGCTTCTTGGGGTCACCTTAGCAGGTGAGATGCTGGGAGAAAACTCTGCAAAGAGAGCAGGAAGGGAAGGAGCAAAGCAGGGGGATCGGGGGGGGGAAGGGTCCCTGGAAACCCTCCCTCGGGGCGGGCACAGAAATCTTTGGGTTCCAAGCAAGGCCGAAGAGGAGGAAGAGTCCCAGAGGCACCCTTGGGCGTTCCCTGGAACAGACCCAGTGCTTTGGGCTCTCCTCTCCCCTCACCAGGCTGACCAAGAGTCCGGCAGGGGTCGGGTGGGGTGGAGATCCTGGTTCATCTCCTTCCCTCTTCTCCAAAGACCCCATGAGATTACTCCTTAGCTGCCCCACCCTTCCTCAGCCTCAACCAGCCAGGCCCCCAGAAGCTTCGAGGGGCTACTGGTGGGCTGGCCTCTGATCTGCCCCTGCCCTCCACCAGCTGGGAGACCCCAGACCACCCTCAGCCTCCTCCGACGCCAGAAGCTAAGCCGAGGGATGCCTGGCCACGGCTGGACTGGGAGGCCAGTTGGTGGCCCCAGGGAAGGTGGCGATGGCTAGGAAAGGACCCGGCCCGAAGCCCCAGCTGCCAGTTACAGAAAGTCACCCGAAGGGGTGGGGGGGTGAGGGCTGGGTTGCTGCTGAGAGTCCCGAGTCCAGTGGCCCTGCTCCACCCGCGGCCACTTTGCCTGCCTCACCTATCCTCAGGTGGCACAAGGAAGAGGCCACAAGGAGGCTTCAAGGAGCGCAGAATGGACCAGAGAAAGCAGGAGAAGACCCAGAACTGGCAGAACGGAAGCGGCCTCGCCTCCATCAAAGCTTCTGCTCTCCAAGGGTCCTTTCAGTGACCCCTGGCCCCTCTGCAGCGCCCCCCCTGTGCAGCCACGGAATCGTCTCCACGTGGACACCGTTACCTTGCCTTGTGGCTGGAGCAGGTCTCCGACTCAGCTAAAGCAGGTGTGGCTGCCAGGAGGGCTCCTATGGAAGTGGGTGGGGTTACGTGGGAGGTGCCAGGAGTTGGG